TCCCTCTGTCCTGTGCCAGTTCGTCTTGTCCCAAGCCACCGTGCCAGCGCTACGTATGTCCACAGTCTTGCCTCGTTTTTTGTCGACACCTTAATTGAGCCTGCTTTCAGTTTTTGTCTCTAGATCGGTTTTTTCCTCGCCCACGAGTGATTCTTATTTCAGCGGCCATGCCCTGTCCTTTTGTTAATAAACTTTGATTCTTTTTTCGCACCACGTTGTGTGAGTCGTGCATTTGGGTTCCCGTCCACCGTCCGGTCGTGACAGAACGAACTGGCCAGCATGAACCCAGCAGACTCGGATAACCTAAAGGCAGCCATTGGCGCTCAAGGTAACCGCCTTAAGCAGCAGGAGGATCAATTGTCCGCCCTGCAACATGGAGTGGAAGGGCTGGCAAGCGGGCAGGAGGACTTCAAGGCCGCCATGACGACCCAGGTGAATCTCCTATCTAACCAGATTCATCAGATGCTCACCCATCTGAACCAAGCACCATCAGCCTCGCCCGTGCTGGCGGCTGCCGACGCACCACCAGCTCCAGCTCCCCACAGTCAGGCAATTCGCCTTGCCCCACCCGAGAAGTTCTCCGGTGAGTCTAGGGAATGCAAGTCCTTCATAGTTAACTGTGAAATGCACTATGAACAATTGCCCTCAGCCTTCCCCACAGAAAGGTCCAAGGTGGCATTTATGATTTCCCATCTCACGGGGAGAGCGAAAGTATGGGCAACCACGGAATGGTCCAGAGCTTCACCAAGCTGCCAATCACTCGCTCGGTTCACCGAGACATTGAGGAGGGTGTTTGACCCCACGACATCCGGCAGAGAGACAGCCCGGGAGCTGAACACTATCCGCCAAGGTATGGACTCTGTCTCAGACTATGCCATCCGCTTCCGCACACTAGCAGCAGATAGCGGATGGAATGCCACGGCATTGTATGATGCATTCATCTCAGGACTCTCGGATCCCATCCAAGACCTGTTAGTTCCCCTTGATTTGCCTGAGGACCTCGACGCAGTCATCGCATTGGCTGTTAGGACAGACCATCGTTTGAAGACACGAATGCAGGACCGAGGTCTCCCTTCAACAAACTCAAGGGTCGTTTCCCCCCTACCGTCGCCGGTCCAGTGGAGAGCTGTCTCTTCGCGTGATCCAGAGGAGCCCATGCAGCTGGGACAGGCTCGTTTGTCCGCTGAAGAACGACGACGCCGCCTGCAGGAAGGCAGGTGTTTCTACTGCGGGGAACAAGGACATCTAGTGGTAGGGTGTCCGGCGAGGAGGACAACCCACCAGGGGAAGAAGAGTCCCCTGTCGAACCGCTTCGCCTCATCGGGCAGTTCCTCCCGCTCCCTGATGAAGATCCAGGTAAGCCACCATGACACCACAGTTTCAATGGGAGTACTGGTTGACTCTGGGGCTGATGAAAGCCTCATGGACTGGGGTTTTGCCAACCAAATGGGAGTTAGGTCAGCTCCCTTGAACCAGCCGTTGAAAGCCAGCGCCTTGGATGGCAGCTTTATTTTTAATGTAACACATGTGACTGAACCTGTGGCTATACGCATCGGGGACCACCACGAACTAGTGACGTTTCATCTGTTCCACTCGGCCCAACACCCCCTGATTTTGGGGTTCCCCTGGCTCAAAAAACACAACCCCCACATTGACTGGTGCTCTGGGAGGATCATAAGCTGGGGAGGGAAGCGGGGGGGGCTAGACAGGGTTCCTGGCCAAGAAGTGGAGATTGGAGTCATTGGGGACCTTGTATCGGCTTCAGCTCCGACCCACACACACAACTTGCGTGATGTGACCTCCGTTCCCAGTTGTTATCACGATCTTGAGGAGGTGTTCAGCAAGAGTAAGGCCACTTCCCTACCACCCCATCGTCCTTATGACTGTCCCATTGACCTTATCCCGGGTGCGCCCATTCCGAAGGGGAGACTTTATTCCATCTCCGGCCCTGAGAAAGTAGCCATGACTGAATACATCGAGGCTTCATTAAAAGCAGGACTCATACGTCCCTCTTCGTCTCCAGCAGGAGCAGGATTCTTTTTTGTGGGGAAGAAGGATGGTTCCCTGAGACCCTGCATTGACTATGGACCATTAAATGACATTACTATCAAGAATCGATACCCCCTGCCCCTCATGTCATCGGCCTTTGAACAGTTGCAACAAGCCAGAATCTTCACCAAACTAGACTTGCGCAATGCTTATCATCTCGTCCGTATTAGAGAGGGCGATGAGTGGAAGACCGGCTTTAACACCCCCTCGGGCCATTACGAATACCTCGTGATGCCATTTGGCCTGACCAATGCCCCGGCCGTATTTCAGGCGTTGATAAACGATGTTCTTAGGGAGTTCCTTAATCAGTTTGTATTTGTCTACTTAGATGACATTTTGATTTTCTCCCCTGACCGAGACACTCATGTTCGCCATGTTCGGCAGGTTCTCCAGCGTCTGCTGGAGAACCATCTTTATGTCAAAGCAGAAAAGAGTGAATTCCATGCCAACGTTGTGTCCTTCCTGGGCTTTGTCATAGCCCCTGGAAAGATACAAATGGATCCGGCTAAAGTCAGCGCTGTGGCCCAGTGGCCTACACCTGATAACCGTAAGAAGGTTCAGCAATTCCTGGGTTTTGCGAACTTTTACAGACGGTTTATCAGAAACTTCAGCGCCATAGCATCTCCCCTCCATGTTCTCACCTCTCCCCAAGCCCCGTTTCTATGGTCTCCCCAAGCAGAGGTGGCTTTCACCCGACTCAAGGAGATGTTCACCACGGCCCCCATCCTCACGGTTCCAGATCCCAGCCGACAGTTTGTGGTGGAGGTGGATGCCTCCAACGACGGTGTGGGGGCGGTCCTATCTCAACGATCGACAGAAGACCACAAACTACATCCATGCGCCTTCCTGTCCAGAAAACTTTCACCGGCGGAGCGGAATTACGATGTTGGTAATCGTGAGTTGCTCGCGGTAAAGCTGGCATTAGAGGAGTGGAGACATTGGCTGGAGGGGGCCCAACACCCGTTTATTGTCTGGACTGACCATAAAAATCTTGAGTACATCCGCAAGGCTAAGCGTTTGAACTCTCGCCAAGCCAGATGGACTCTGTTCTTTAACCGCTTTAACTTTGTTTTATCCTACAGGCCGGGGTCCCAGAACACCAAGCCGGACGCCCTGTCTCGTCTGTTCAACCCCGAGCCCACTGCCAAGAAACCAGAACCAATGCTGCCACCGCACCGTGTGGTAGGAGCGGTAACATGGCAGATAGAATCAGAGGTGAAGCGGGCTAATGGTGAGAACCCTACACCTAGTGGTTGTCCAGTTAATCGCCTGTTTGTTCCGGCAACTATGCGCCCACAGGTGATTCATTGGGCTCACACCTCAAAGCTCACCTGCCATCCAGGGATCAGGAGAACCATATATGCCATCAGACAAAGGTTCTGGTGGCCCGCCATGGAACGCGAGGTCCGGGAGTATGTTGGTGCGTGCCCCGTCTGTGCTAGGAACAAGACCTCCTCCCAGGCACGCACAGGGCTGCTGCAACCACTCCCGGTGCCCAGTCGACCCTGGGCTGAGATTTCGCTGGACTTCGTCACTGGTCTCCCGCTCTCTCAAGGTAACACCACTGTCCTCACAGTGGTGGATCGATTCTCAAAGATGGTTCATTTCATAGCCTTACCTAAACTTCCGTCAGCCAAGGAGACTGCCGAAACCATGCTCAACCACGTTTTTCGCATTCATGGGTTCCCGAGGGACGTGGTGTCAGACCGGGGGCCCCAATTCGTATCCCGTAATTGGACTGAATTCTGCAAACTGATCGGGGCCACGGTCAGTCTCACGTCCGGATACCACCCAGAGGCCAATGGACAGGCTGAGCGCCTTAACACGCTCCCCACAGCAGCCACGGGGCTGACCCCCTTCCAGTGCGCCTTCGGCTACCAACCGCCTCTGTTTCTAGATACTGAGAAGGAGGTCGTCGTCCCTTCCGCCCATGCCATGGTCCGGCGTTGCCGCCGAATCTGGGCAGCTGCCCGCAGCATCCTCCTTCGCAGCGCGGCGCGCATGAAGAAGGTCGCTGATCGGAGGCGCCAGCCAGCTCCGACATACCAGCCGGGCCAGAAAGTCTGGCTCTCCACACGGGACTTGCCACTCCATGTTGCCTCCCGGAAGCTAGCTCCTAGGTTTGTGGGTCCGTTTCCCGTGTCAAAAGTAATTAACCCTGTCTCTGTTCGTCTGCGCCTTCCCAGATCCCTGAGGGTGCACCCTACTTTTCACGTGGGGAAGCTGAAACCAGTTAGAGAGAGCCCTATGGTGCCCGGAGCCGCAACTCCGCCACTTCCCCGGATGGTTGATGGGGGACCGGTCTACCCAGTGAAGCGACTCTTGGGCGTACGCAAACGCGGAAGGGGACACCAATACTTGGTGGACTGGAAGGGCTATGGTCCGGAGCACCGTTCCTGGGTCCGGTCCAGCTTTATCATGGACCCGGCACTCATCAGGGACTTCAACAACCGCAAAAGTCCGTCAGGAGCCGTCCCTAAAGGGGGGGGTACTGTCATGTCCAGAAAAAGATGTTAGTTAGGTTGTCTCGTGTCCGTCTCGTGAGTTCCTGTTTTATTTTGGAAAATGAACCTTCCCCTTGTTTCAGGCAACTTTCCCCTTCCTCTTGTGTCGGTGTGATTGTCGCCCCTCCCCTGATGTCTCCACCTGTGCACCTTCCCCTATGTGTGTGTATATATGTCTGAGTCTCCCTCTGTCCTGTGCCAGTTCGTCTTGTCCCAAGCCACCGTGCCAGCGCTACGTATGTCCACAGTCTTGCCTCGTTTTTTGTCGACACCTTAATTGAGCCTGCTTTCAGTTTTTGTCTCTAGATCGGTTTTTTCCTCGCCCACGAGTGATTCTTATTTCAGCGGCCATGCCCTGTCCTTTTGTTAATAAACTTTGATTCTTTTTTCGCACCACGTTGTGTGAGTCGTGCATTTGGGTTCCCGTCCACCGTCCGGTCGTGACAATTTTCACATTGCATTTCACTTAATTTAATAGCAATTTTGTCGTATTCGACTTTTATTGTGGAAGCAACATACTGATACATGAAGTGGGATTGACTACATATCAATATGTGCGTTTTTAAAATATTTCTGCTGATTTGAGTGCGTAGACATAACATATAAACTAAAAAACATTCACACAGTCCCGGTGTGAGTGGATAGTTGTTTGAATGTTTACAACTAAGTGCTATTTTCATGCAAATGGCCAAACAATTTAATGTTCAATGTAGCAAAAGAAATACACTGTAAGAAAACATGTTCTGTGCTCTATTTATTTGCTTATTCAAATTCTACATTTAATTATGTCTCATTAGTACACTAGAAAACTTGGAAAACGGTATCAGATATTCAAATAAACAAGTATTAAAGATCACACAGCCGTTTCATTTCTAAGTGGAGCAGCCACCATAACTGAGGGATAAACCTTCATCCGACTTCCCGCGCCTTAGAAAGAACATGTTGTAGATTTTAAATCTTTTATCACCACCGCTCTTGTCGTTGCAGTACGTGCAGATCCTGTTTGTCTGCCCTTAAAGAAATCCCGTCTTGAATGAAGAAGCTTTGCCTTCACGTACAGTCAGATGTCATAACAATCCACTCCAGTGATAATGAGGAGTTATTGACAGGTAGTATTCTGTTGCTCGTTGTGCCTTCATGGAAGGTGAGAGGGTTACTGCAAACTGCCAAAGCAAAGGCGAGAAAGTGGCGTGAACGCAAACAGAAGGCAACCCGGTCTACAGAGAAGATGTACCAGAAACGCGGGCTGGAACCCGAAAGTGTTCAGTCGTTGAGATATCTTCACTCTTCAGGGGAATGAGAGTATGAGGTGTTGTGTTACACACTGTACAAAATAAATTAATGTGGCGTGACTACAACTTCAACTCAACCAAGTTCAAAAGTGTTTTTTTAAACTGTATGCTCGAGAAAGAATAACATTTTATAAGACTTGTAACTTAAATGAAGGAAAAAAAAATATATATATATATATCTGTATTCACAAAAATATATTAATTGAGTACTAGCTTTCGGTCTATTGTAGCTGTTTGCTAAATCTTGCGGAAAAAAGTGCAAAGCATGCAACAAACCATGACGACGTGACGAACTGCTCACAGTCAGAGGGAGAATAACAGTGTCTGTTTGATGCTAATCTGGTGATTTTCAGTTCTTCCCTTTTCACTACATGTGGGAGTCATGGGAGTGTCAAATATCAGGCCTTTAGTGTCTAATATTTCAGATTCGCTCTACCCAGCACCATAAGGGCCGGTTCTGGAGGACGTTTTCGCGCTCTGCGGCAAAGCATGCTAGCACTCATGCTAGCTAGATGATATGTGACTTAACGGCAGTGTTAAGAAAGTCTCTTCTTCTCCTGCGGGCTCTACACTACTCGGGTCAGAACTACAAGCTGCGAAGCCAACACGAGGATGCGAGAGTAGTTTTCCAGTCGCCATACAGGTACGTCGCCATTGGTCCAGTGTTGAGCTCCAGCATGCTGAGGGCCTCACAGTGTTTCTGCAAGGGACATAGAAAATGGCAAATTCCAGTTTTTAAGTTTGCAGTCAGCAGTCGGGAGAAGAAACCCTGCTTTTGATTGTGAGATGAATCACTAAGTAGTAGAAAATATCAGTCTTACCTGTCTGGCTCTATGGAGAAGGAACATGTGTGGAGTGGCACTTGTTTTTCTGCAATGAGAGGATCGTGGAATTAGTGCAATGCAGCAAAAAACTTGATGAACACTGGTTTCTCTATTATCTATCTTTTTAAATTATTTATAATGTTTGTTGCTGTGCTATGACAAAGGTTTTGCATATGGAATTATGACTTTTAAGTAACACAGATGCATTCGTGATGTGCTATTGTGTAGCTTTGAATTGTGTATTTATTTCTTCATATTATTTCAATGGACAAATGGTGCCATTTATTTTTTGAACTGTACATGGTCTCTTTTGTATAAAAAAAAAAAGAGAGATCCAGGTCCAGATTGTATCTTCACTAATACACCGATTCATAAAAGTCTGGAATTATTGTAAAACCTTTCGATGGTCAGAGTTGTTGTGGTGGTCCCTGTCCCCTCTTTACAGACTAGTGTGCAACAAAACACAAAACACATCATGTTTGATGATGATGATTCATTTTAACTTGTTTTTAGGCTTCAAATATAGTTTTTTATTTGCATGAAAAGCAACTTTTGACGGACATAATGCAACTTATAAAAGTATGTGCCACCAAAATATCCCCCACAGAGGATTAGCAAGAGCTCTGATTAGCATCGTTTTACGTCCAATCCTGAGAGCTCTGACCACAACAGCTCTGTTTAACATTATGGTGGTCTCAACCATTACCTTCTGATTTAGTCGATAGTGCAGACTCCGGTCTGACAGCCAGGGGTGCCTAAGGGACTCTGTGGCGCTCATCCTCCAGCTCTTGCTCTTTACCAGCAGAAGGGTGATGAATTCTTTGGCCTCGTCCGAGATGTCCGTGAACTCCACCTCCTCAAAGTTCCACTGACAGGCCAGAATGTTGTTCAAGGTCTCGTTGTCATCGTCCCCCAGAAACGGAGACAATCCACTGAGCCTTAACAGAGAGGATACATATATGTATATATATACATACAAACGTTTAGGCTACATATACTTATATATAATCATGTACATATGTGTTTGTGAATGAGTCATCACAACTCACAACATGTAAGTGATGACGCCCAGACTCCACATGTCAGTGGGGAATGAAACAAACTCATAGTTGATGACTTCAGGGGCGAGAAATTCAGGTGTTCCAAAGTTTACCCTCAGCTTCTCCCTGGGTTTATACCTGTCAGAGGACAACCAGACACGTGCGAATTATATCTACTGGCTGAGAAGGTCATGTTATGAAAGTTGACAGTTAACAAAGGTTTGAAAAGTAGATAGGAGCAAGATTTTACCTCCTGGCCAGGCCAAAGTCAATGATTTTAATCTTGTTAGTTGCTCTGCTGACACAAAGAATGTTCTCTGGCTGAAATGGAACAACAGAGGAGGATTATAAAGGGTCACCAAATGGCAGTAATAAAAAGTATGGAGTGGATTTTTCCGCCACTTGTATCTAAGCCCATTAAAACCCACGTGTGGATGTTACTTGACAGAATTTAACTAATATGTATATATTAAAATGAATGGCCATTATAGTAGTTGCAACCCTGATAATTGGGAAGATAGCAACAAGAAACCTGGTGTTTGATTAAAAAGCGCAGGGAAATTAAGTGGGATGTTACTGAGAATACAAGATTCTAAGTTGAAGTCGGTTTACCTTGAGGTCGAGATGTAGGATGTACATCTTGTGCATGTACTGCAGCCCTTCACAGATCTGGCGTATAAACAGCACCGTGTCCAGCTCCGTCAGGTTGTAGTTCTCATCAATGATGCGGTCAAACAGCTCTCCTCCCTCCACACTATACAATAACCAAAGCTTGTCAGTTTGTTGTATCGACAAAAGAGAACAAATACGCCGAACGCAGGCGCCCTAACTTACTATTCCATGACCAGGATGATGTCATAGCGCGACTCATAGGCGGCGTACAGCTGGATCAGGTTGGCGTGGTTCAGCTGGTTCATCACCTGGACTTCATTCCTCACCACGTCCTGAGAGAAAAGCCGACAAAAAGGAAGAGACAATTACAAGTCAGGGAGAAACCAACACTGCAATAAAGGGTCCACACATAATGTGCTGGGAATCATTAGAAGAAGATTCATACATTTTAGCAACCTTGAAGGTTGTACCCCCAATGATTTTCACCAAACCACCAAAAGGCCAATTGTATGTGAAATACCTACTTTTTTCCAGGGTAAGAGATGATGCAGCTAATGAACAAACTAAGATATGTTGTCATCAGGTGCCTGTTCAGGTGGCATAAACTATATGTGTCATGTATTGGGCTTGTTCTTTTTGTCATGGATGACCACTGGCAGCAATGTGAGCCATTTGAACATCTCAGATAACAATGCAACCACAGAACTACGGTTCGATATCTGTCCTCTCTCACAGCTTTGGTCAACTCAAAGTAAGAAAGATACAAAAATGTCGACAACGTTTTGTGCCGTTGATCTTTTTTAAACCTCCGGGTGCAAAGATGGAAGTGCCCATCCATTCGACTGTCTTTGTAAACTTCTACGTATTCAGCATTCATTGGTGAATCGTTCCTGCACCTTCTCTTTCTGGCTCCTGGCTTTGATGATCTTGGCAGCCAACACCAAACCAGACGAGTTCTCTAGGCACTTGTGGACTTGTCCAAAACGCCCCCTGATGAAGGTAATGTAAACCACAGAGCAGAGTCAAGCACATGTTCTTGCTACTGGCCCAGTAGAAGAAAAAGAACCATCCCAGAAATTAGATTTATAAAAAAACACAAGTTGAAATAAACTTGCAACTAACCAAAATTACAAAGAAACATTTTGTGATAATTTAAGGAATGGTCAAATTTGAAATAATTGCTAGTGCCAAAATCTCAAACTAAAATCATCTCTATTTTATATCAAAGTAGGATTGGTTGGTTGGACTAAATCATTTTAAGATGACATGTTGGGGTCCAGGCTTTTGTAATTTGTAAACAATAGTCGATTAACAAAGACATCATGAAAATTATTACTTGCACCTTCCGTCATAGAGTAATTAAAGCTGCATGCTGTGCAATTATGTCCGTAATTTAAACAATGTGCTTGCGTGCAGAGGGGTAATCTCCTGCTTGGGAGGCAGAATTTAGCACTCGTCTATTACATCAAGGAGGACCGCCATTTCACAAGAGCCCCCAGAGGCACTAATTCAAATGCCCTTTAGAGGGGCAATAAAAATAACTTTTCCTTTTTTCAAAAAAACGATTAGACGACTCTCACAGGCTCTTGTATTATTTTATCAGAGAGGGCCGATGTGTTGAATAGTGCGGAACAGAGCCAAATTAAGACCAACTCTTGAGAGCCTGGCATTCAGAGATACTCACCCCCCCAGGACCTCGTCTCTGTTGATGGTGTAGTAGCTGGTTATCTGATGGGGTTTGGGGGTCACAATGCGGTGGTCGAAAGGTGCCAATGGTGGAGGGCTCGCCTCTGAAGAAACCATAAAGGAAGACCAAATGAAGTGAATAGTTTTTTGTTGCTGAAAACAAAGTATGAAACAGAGTTCGGAGGAAGACGCCTCGTTCCCCAGAAATGAATTGGATCAAAATAGCAGAATGGCAAAGTCTCATCGGTGGTTCTGCCAGCTGCGGCAGCTGACATGTTAGTGACGCTCAAGCAGCCGTGGTGTTATAATATTGGAACTGTTTCAAAGTGAGGAACGAAAAGTTAAATGTCACAGACTAACAACCAGTGCGTCTGCGCGGAGAGACACATGAGAGCAACACAAAGTGGATTCAACTCAAACGGGTCCAGAGCAGTGAGGCATGGAGTCCACATCATTAATGGATCAAAGCTCAGTCTGAACTACCGGCGTGTGCTTGAACTATTTCACAACTTTTTTTTTATTTGACTGGAAACATTTTTGATTTCTCTTTTTTTAGACATCTGTTGGAACTTGGTTCTGGCTCAGTTGTATACCCGAACAGGGAAAAGCAATCAGCAGGTACTGAGATTATGTTGAATCAGGTTTAATCTATTTATCAAGCCAGTAATGCATCGATGCCTATCGACCACAACCAAAAAAACAGTTCATATGGTTATAAAAAAAGACACGGGTCTAAGCTTCAAAATAAAACTCGCTGACTAATTAACTTATCCTTATTGTGGCAAAAATATTTACAAACCTGATTCTCAACTAAATTGAAGGTTATGCGTCATAACAAGTAAAACTATGTATATGCCCAAAGTGTCTTTTTGGACTGTCTCATGCACTGTAAACAGTGCCTTACCAATGATGAATTCCTTCACTGCTGACTCTGCCTCCTTCCCTTCCTCGTCCACCTCGGCCTTTACTTCCTCAGATTTGGAAGCCTGATGCGCGTCCCCCTCAACCCCCGGCCCCTCACCCCTTTCCACTTCACTGTCTCCCACTCGGCTTTCTTTGAGGTCGTCCTTCCCCAGCTCCTCTTCTGTGACACGAGGTTTACTGCAAGTGGCCACATCACATGAAAATTAAAAGAAAAATTCATCGCTGACTTCTTCGATGAGTAAAATTGATAAAGAACAGTTATTTTGTCTAGTGTTCTATTCTGTTGAAGAAATTGTGGCATCAGCTGTAATTGGAGAATAATTACCTGTCCTGTGGTTGGAGAGAGCTCCTGCAGATATCCACAATGATACTCGGCGCCTTTTCTGATTTGGACGAACTCTTCCCATCACCCTTCGCTTTTCCAGTCCCTTCTTCCGCCCTTTTGTCCTCTTCCTCTTCCTCGGAGTCATCAAAGACCGCCCCTGCATTTTCCTCCTCTATCTCCTTGGTGACCTTCTTCCTGTCCTCTGACCTGGTAGCAGAGGTGTGTGGTCCGTCCAGGATCAGCCCGACGGACTCCTGTCTTCTTCCCCCACTTCCCCTGTCCTCCCCCTTGTGATTGCCAGCCTCGGCCTTTGCATGGGAATGCTCAGAGTTCTGCCTGTTGAGCTTTTCCACCTGCTCCTGCAGCACAGGCTCATTCTGCGAGGAAGTGTCTGACGTGGGAAAAAACAAGCATATAACCGTAAGCCACATGTACTGTGTACATTTGATTAAACTTTAAAATGTGTTGGATTCAACGTATTTTGAGAATGGATGACATAGATCAAATAGTATAGTATATATTTATGTAATTTATTTTAATAGCTTTGAGCTCACAAAGGGCTCAAGAGGTCTGCTGAAATATAATTACTAATAATATAAAATTTAAATTGGCATAAAAATCCAGTATTGGTCGGGCTGTAGTCCATATCTAATCCAGCAGATGTGCAATGATGCAGGTGCTGTGTACATCTCATCTGATTGAGTAATTTCCTGTTTGAGCCTACCAGACGTGTCTGCAGGTCTCCTCTTCTTCTGGGCCTTTAAGCCCTTCTGGCTCAGTTTGGCTGCATCCTTGTCATCTTTTGCCTGGTTTTAGAAACAAGAAACAAATATCAAGCTTCAGATAATAGATCTACAAAGTGACAGATTTGGACAAAACTTGAAATAAAAAATCAGATTATAAATCAGAGAATTTATATGTGAAGCTCGGAAAAACAAAGACGTTATATTGATTTTTTCCAAGTAGGTTGGCGTGAAAGCTCAGATTTTTTTAGCACTGGTCTCATGTGTCTTCATCTGTACATTACTCCGAGTTCAATCCAAAGTGTTTGTCAGCGCTGCTGTGGTTGACCCTGTAACTCAAGCAGGATGTTGTGCGGAGTAGATGCCTCCTTCAGGAGAAAGTTCGAAGGTCAAATATCATCCGTAGCAAATGACGTGATGCACAACACAGGAAACCGCTATATTTGCCTTTTGCCTCATTTACTGTGCAGTGATTACATATTGTAACAAGAGGGCAGCATCAAAGCAGACACCTTACAGAATGGTAGCAAAGACATTCAGCTGATCCCTGCTGCGGTTTCTGTGCCATTCAATCTGTCTGTTCATGCTTGCTTCACCGCATTCGTTAAAAATAGCTTTAAATCAGCCGAATTCAAGCACTCAAAATATTCCAATTGAAATGCAAACGTACTCTGTTGTCCCAAAAAAACAAGGAAGCGAAAGCTATGCAGCGATGCTCTGCACAGTTTCATTACTGTTCCAAGAGATTAAGAAAAGCAAACGTGCAAAATGCTTGAGAACCTGCCGGACTAAACTGAGCCTGTTCAGATGGAGTCCAATCCGCTTCTGTGCTGATTTAGACACGGTTTGGATAAGATATCCAGTCTGACTCTAATCATTCACACCTCTGAGACAAACCACAATCACTGCACAGAGGAAAATTACTTAACATAACAGAGAATGACATGTTGAAGTGCAGCGCAGCTAATAATAGATAGGTATGTAGTCATATCAGAACATTGAGGGACGACTGCCAACTTGTTATTCGAAGAGGGCATCTAAAGGCCTTGTTGAAAAAGATTCTCTTTACGTATTTTACCAGCAAAATCTTCAGGTTTTAAAGTCTGCCAATTATTAAGTCACTGCAGACAGGTCATACTTTCCATCTAGATGATTTGCAGCCTTTCAAACAGCACTTACTGCCTCTGTAGTTATGTTCACAATGAAACTAGACCTCTCACTCTGTCGACATTGGCGACAGAGCTGACAGTAATAGAAGCTGCAGCTCCCTCAAAGTACCGCGCGTCGGAGATGAGAACAGAACAGCAGATGGAAAAAACCCTCGATTCCGAGGCCTTTGGAAAACCTCGCGTGTGACGTCTCTCACCTTCCTGCCGGCCTTCTTTCCGGGCTGTTTGAACAGCAGCTCCACGAGCCTGGAGCTCTTCAATACCTCCCCAATGAAGCTGATCACCTGCTGGGTGCCCTCCACGAGCCTCTCCACCCCGTCCAGCCTGCGTCCCTGACTCTCCATCTGCTCGCTGGCCCTCTCAACGGTGCCATGTAGCTCTCCGCACGCCGCCTGACCCCGAGAGCCGCGTCTCCCCCCAGCGCCGCCTTCATGCATCAGTGCCAGATCCCGACCTATGCCCCTGACGTCCAGGGACAGGCCATCCAGCCGGGTCAAGACGGTCTGCTGCATGCTGAGCAAGCGCTCCATCTGAGAGCTCAGCGAGTCCATCCGGCTCTCCACGCGGCGCAGGGCTGCGTCGTGAGGGGAGGAAGGCGACGGCGAAGAGGCTTGGGACTTGTCTGATCCGTTAAGAGAGAGCCTCCTTCCACCGGCCTTCTGGCCATGAAGAGGATTCGGATCATAGACCTTGGCTAAAGAGTTGACAAGGCTGGAGCTCATGACTGATGTGAAGCAAGGTCTCCTCGCAATTACACACTAAAGAAGCTCCCACTCACTAATCAAGTCCGCTCCCTTTGCTTGCGACAAGAAACATAATACTGGACGACGCCTACGAGCAGAAGAAAAAGAAGTGGAGGGAGAACAGAGAGCTCTCCCTCGGCACTGCACCACTGAGTTTTAAGAATAGCAAATGGCTGCACTCCAAAATAAAGCGCAGCCCCCCACGGACGTCAGGCCCTGTAAGTGGCCAGTGATAAGAGCCGGGGGGGCTCTGGTGTGGAATCGGGGTGGATGGAGGTTAGGGGGAGATGCTTGAGACGATCGCTATGTGACATTTGAGACACTTCAAAAGCTCTTCAGTCAGGTGTCAGAATCCCAAGAATCTGGAGCTGAAATATGACGGACAAATAAAATGTACAGCCAATAAAAAAAAGGACAACTTCCTCCAGTGCCACACAGTTCACAAAATGTATTTGTTGTTCCCTCAAAAAAAGTAATAGTAATTCTTCTTTGGATACTTATTATAGCATTTTGCACAAATGTAATCTGTATACTTAATGCTTAAACTACTTAAAACCACTTAAAATCCCTTATTCTACTTTATTTTACAAAGAATATTGAAGAAATGGAGTGAAAAAAGGGAGATGTACGACATGCAAAGAAGGTCACAGGACTGGGATAAGTAGTAAAATAAGGTTTCCACTTTGCATTTATGCAAAGAAGAAAAGTCTAGTTTATTTGAAACCAACGTTTCCAAAATGAATCCGTGCAACCGGAGGGACAAGACAACAGGTGATGCCACTGACACTTGAACTGTTGATGCAGAGCGGGACAAACTGACGCAGATACACACTGAAGTTCATGAACAGACACGTAAGAGACGTAGCTGACTGTGTGCATTGTCCGCAAGCTTTTCCACGTCTCGACACACAGATATCTGGAGTGGACACGTGTGACAAGCGCCTCAATACTTGCTCCCAGAAAGATATCAGGAAGAGCCTGACAAGAGCACAGTGCAGTCCCTATGCAGGGGTTTAAAGGGCCGCTTTGCCTGGAATTTGTGAACAATGTCTTCAACAGGACAAATACGTATCTTTGCAAATAGATACAGTATATATGTCAGTTCCTAGTCATTATACTGAGACATCACGGTGAACAGATTTACTAGAAACTACTCTTCACTCACAATTGACAGATAAGTGAATCTCTCGTTAAGAAAGGAAAAGGTATAATATGTTATATTGAGAAAAAATATGTTGCTGTTAAGCTTTTTGCGCTTTGCACAAGACAAGTGCAACGGATTCATTTCCTTTTTGTCAAACTAGCTATAAACACAATATAACCTTAAAATTAACACTATAACTGTAGTATTCATTAATAGTTACAAATCTCACTCTGGAGTGACGTCATGTGAAGCCACGTGACATCATTGGATCTATTGCTAGTATGAAACATTGGCTTTAAAACTTGTGTTGTATTGTCCCTGTGGCCAGAGTCTGTGGTATAAAGTCACAACGCACTCATGTGTCCCCCATGTGGATAACAATAGCCTCAGTGAGGGAATTCCCTGCCGTATTCGCACCGAACCTCCTCTGTAATTTACTTTTATCGGTCTCGCCACAACCACAAGTCGTGTGAAATCGTGACAGAAGGCTGATCCAGCAAAGTAGGCGCCGGCGCGGTGCAGCAGCAGAGTTTAGGAATGAGAGTGACGGGGCCTCGCCACTCTCACCGCACATATAGAGTTACTCATCAGAAAGACACAGATAATACATAATGCTTAGTTATTCCAGCGCCACGGACTGTCCAGTAATCCGATATCTTTACAGTGCAATGGACTGGACGACATGGATGACACAAGCTTTAGCTCAGAGACACAAAAATAGACTTTAGACAAACTCCTGCCTCACACCAGAGGCTCTGTTCTGAGTCCACATTCAAAGCAATGCTGTAGTTTGGCCAGCAGAAGCGGAAGCGAAGCCAGAGTTGGAAAGTAAGCACATTTACTGAAGTGCAGGTACTTGGCTATTTCCATATCATCTCCTCTAGTTTGTACCGTTCACCGGACAGACTTTGAGGAAAAAGCTTGTGCGTCCATGACGTCTTTCATAGAAAGGAATTATTTTACCCCCACTCCTGAATTGCTTGGACCACACATGACCCTGCTGTCGTTAAGATATCAACTAACCACTTCGTACGTAGTTTCTGCATCTGACACGTTTTTGACCTGCTGATAGAATCTGTCCAGAGACGGACAGAAATACACCAGTTTAAGTTCACTGAATAGCCTCTATCGTGGTTTCTTTTTGCCACGACGACACAAACACACACCGACACTCACTCAAGTGAAAACAACACCAGTGGTGCTGGAAAACACACCCAAAATAAAATAAGCCAAATGTTCTCTTTTGGGGTACTGTGCACTTTGAATGCTATACTTAAAGTCAACAACTCTCTGGCCCGTCCCGCGGCACTGGTCCAGCTCTCAGATCCCTGCATCATCCACGCCCCTCCCCCAGATGGCATCCCTGGCCACAAAGGATCCACCGTACCATCATCATGACTCACACACACGGCCTTACTGAGACCAAGAATAATTGCGTTCAAATGAATGCATTGTAAAGCCTGTCTTTCTCCACAGTCGTATCCAGCGGGTTCCCTTCAGGGGCCAAAAAAGGGCCAAATACTAGGTTGTAAAAGTGGGAGTAGGGATGCACTTGCAATTGCGTACTTGCTTATTTGTTTTATGCCTTTTTATTAGCACCAGAAACAATATATTTTTATTTCATTCGTTTATAATTTTCAGAAGGCCTTTTTATTACAGATATTCTGGCTTGTCATAAAAGCAAAAAACGCAGGTAAAACTAATTTTGATAACAATCATATTTATTCATTTATAATGTTGGCAATAGACAAGCCAATATGTACATCACGGAGTGTACGGAATCTCTGCTGGGGAGAATGGAGCAGTTGCACACTGAGATCTGCTCATTGAAGCAGCCGATGCAGCTACAAGCGGATGTGGTCGAGGACTTTCGTGCCATCACTGCTGACCTGACTCTCGGCGGTGGCACAGGTGCGTCAGCGGCGCTGTGCGGTTGGAGACTGGGGCCCTGGGCTCTGGCGGTGCGGGGATTGGGGCTGCACTAGATTGACCCTCGGACCTGGACCGGACTCTGAAGAGGGTCCCGTGGCCGGGCCCTGCGCTCGGGGGATCGGAGGGGGGCTGTGACAGAGAAAGGATCGGGTACTGTTTCCCCGGCAACGTTCTGCCTGTTGTTGGGGCCGCAGCTGTGGGCAGCATTAAAACGGTCCAGACCAAGTTGGTGAGTGTCTTTGCTACCAGGTTTCTGCCAGATCTGGATACTGAAACTTCATCTGTGTTCCTTCAAAGAAAAACTTGGCCAGTGAAGTCAATTCTCAAAAGATTGAGACTGTCCACAGCAGATTCAGCTCCTTTAAAGTATCTGCTGAATGCAATGAGGTTGATGAAATGTGCACCCCTTAGCTGTGGCCACACGGGGCGCTATTATGAGCCGTGCAAGGTGGGAGTCATCGGGTCAGACCCTGACCTCACTGCGCTGTGCCTGCTGGTGCTGTGGGCATTATTTAACTGTCATGGCCTGCGTGTGGGCAGGATGACGGGGATAAAGCTGCATGGGGGTTGACATACCAGGTGGTGTGGCTATTTCATGGAATAAGAAGCTTGACTCACCATGATAAGACATTTATCATTCTAAATATCTATACACACAATTAGGATGAATATCTAAATAGGTTTGCCTTCATCAATTCCTATATTCAAGATAATACTATAGTATATAGGTCATTGGGGATATGAATGTAGATCTCAGACAACTGTTCATTATTTGCCAATCACATGGCTCAGTTGTGTAAAGATAATCATTTGATACTGTCAAGTGCTTTTGCCTACAGACAGCTATACATATATCAGTGAGGCCTGGCACACTACGTCATGGCTGGACCATTGTATAAATACAGCTGATGCACATGCCTCATTAGGGTGTATGGGCATTTTTTATGGGGCAGCAACAACTGATCATATACCTTTTTCCATGTTAATAAATGTTGAAGATCTCCCGGCACTAACTAGCAATGGAATAAGTGTCTACTAAACTGGTCAATCTCACAAAGGGGGACTTCTTAACCTGTTATGCTTGCACAGATCAATCTGTAATATTCATCTACCTAGAGATGCAAGTATGCAGTGTACAGATGGAGTGAAGATGTCTCTGTTTAGAGGTTATTGTACACCACTCTACACTGCACACTTGTGGTCCAATTACAAAAAAGCAAGCCTACAGAGACTACAAGTATCTTATAATGATGCCATGCAAATATTACTAAAGAGACCGAGATGGTGTCGTGCCAGTGAAATGTTTGTGGCTGAAGGAGTTAATACTTTCCAAGCTGTTTTAAGAAATCGTATGCATACATTTATCTGCCCGGTTAACGTCTGAAAATGAAATCATCTTGGGTTTGTCAAACATGTCTGTTAGTGCTGAGGAGGGCCTGCATGCATGTTACATAAGTGGCACAAGAATGTGCACAGACTCTAAATACATCCACAACAACCCCCTCCCTCGGTTATCGTGAGTTTCCTGTTTGGGGGCAGCGTTATATAACATGAAAACAACTGGGCCTGGTGTTCGAAAGGGGATTCAGGATAAATTTCGACCTTTGACCTCGTGGAATGACTGTCAATCCCACCACCCCCCCCACCAAACACACACACAAACACTACACACAAAAAGTCAGTGGGGCTTAGTGGAGGATTTAGGCAGCGGATCTTATTTCTCCCCCAGCCTCTCAGTGTCACAGTGTCAACACAAACTGGAAAGTTGTAAAGTTGCAACTTGGGAAAAATTGTATTACTCATAAAGAAGTGAAGAAATTCATGAATTAAACAAGTACATAGATATATTACTGTAATGATCCATTTCTCTATTAATTGTTTACTGTTTATAATTGCCTGCATTGGTTTATCTAGGATTGCATTGCATGGATATTTGGTCAATTTGTGCAACATTCACGTTGCATGATATTTAAGTTGCATACATTGCACGGTGTGCATGATGTTCCTCGTGAACCTTTTGTTTTCTCTTTGAAAATATTGCAAACATCTGCTATGAATTGTAAAAATGTCTGTAGCCATGTAAAGTGTATTTGTTTACATGGAAGATCATAAACCAAACTGACTTTAATAAAGTGTTGCATTTGTCTCTTACTACCACAAGGTGGCAGAGCAGAGCCACCGGCCCAGGAGTCCTCTTCCAGTTCCACATGCTGAAGACTACCTGGGACCTGGAAGCAAAAGGGTTGCATTTGGGCATTTGAGTTTCATGCTCGGCTGTTCTCTGGTTACTTTGAACCCTGACCTACTAACCTCTACACAGACACGCACACACAGACACACACACAGACACACGCACTATTCACACAAATCCAAACAGTTAATGTTTGCCACGTAAGATTGACCCT